GGGGGGGGGGGGGGGTCTTCCCCACCTGGAAGTGGGGCACAGCTGCTGTCATACCACATGCCAAGGAGCTAGATGGACCGCTGATCTCGTCAGGCAGAAGTGTTTGTGTTCACACTGTGCCTCTGCCAAACGCAGGAGGCAGCGTGTATCGCCGTGGCAAAAACCTGCCCCGCTCATCAGCCTGGTGAACGGTGACTTTGTTGGCACTTGCCTTCTTGCTTCAGGATTTCTATTTCATTCATATGCTGAACATTTGGACGTGCTCACACTCCTGGCCTGACTTGTTGCCTTCTTATTTTCTGGCTGCAGGAGAGTAGTTTCCTCATTAATTTTTGTCCTTCATGGTTTTATAGTAATTTCGTATTTTGCCTGTTCTCCCCACCCTGATCACATTTTTTGCGAGCTAGAGTCTTATTCAATTTATTTTCTTCAGTAGGAAACTGTCCTCTAGCTGGATTATCTTTCTTGTCCTTCTCTGGCCTTTCCTTACTGTATCAGTTTATTTTTTTCAGTGATAAGCAGTGCATGCAGGATTTGATATGAGTGCTCTCTGTGCGTCTATGCAGTTGCTTACTTATGGATTGTGGTTCGCTGCTCCTTTCCTAATAACTGCTAACACCCTGCTTGCCTCCATGGCTTTGCACCTCTCAGCTGGTTTAAAAAAATAAGATTGTCCATCATGATTTCAGTATCACTTTCCTAAGAGACAATAGTTCATCCAGGGCCCCTTTTGGGTTTCCTCTGGGGATGAGCATACACTGAAGCTGCACTTCACCTGCACCATTTTATCGCCCAGGCAGTGTGAAATCCCTGCAGTGGTTTTAGATTTGGACGCTGCACACACACTTGATCCTACCAGTGCTCTGGCAGACTTGCTGTTTTGTGGTCACTGATGTCCTTAAAGCTGACTTGTTTCACATTCAATTTATCACTTACACTAAAGATTTTTTTTCAGTCTGCTTTGCTCTTCAACCTTTTCACTTGCTGTTCTTGGTGGACAGCAGCAGAGCACTGAGAATAAACATTCAGCATGTTGACAGTCTGTTTCATGTGCTCCTCTGCCTGTGGCTTTTCAGTGCCTTTTTTTTTTTCCTGCATTTTCTGAAGCTCATCAGTTGTGTGCTGAAAGAATAGAGCTTAAAATCCTCCAAAAATGCTGAATTGAATACACTCTGGTCAGTAGCAGAAGATTGTTTTGTAGCAAGGTCCTGTGTGCTGTTCAGATTAAATCCAGTTGTGGGATTTCCAGCTGATTTGGGAATCATTTATGTTATTTTGAGGCTTTAATTCCTGTATGATGTCTCTGAGGAGACTGATAAACATTAAGTGGGAGAACTAGTCTCCCTCTAATGCTATTTTTCTACTTTTGTAGTATTATAGTAAATATAGTGCAGGCTCTATAACCCACCTAGATGAATTGTCCAAGGAGTAGAGGCACTGCTGCACTGATCCCTGTGCTCTTACAGCATCTCATGGCAGTATATACAGCAAGTATTCACTCCCTCTGAGCTGTTCCTGGACAGCAGAAGTGGGGAGTACTATGTCACTAGCCAGCTGGACCTGCTCTGGGAAAGCTTTCCAAAACCTCGATCATTCAGGCAATATTGTTGATACTGACTTCTACAGAAACTCCCTTCTGTCATCAGTCATCAGAGTACAAAGGGTGGAGAGAGGTGGGGATGGGTCTGTTCAGCCAAGGACCAAGGGACAGGACAAGAGGAAATGGGCTCCAGTTGTGGCCAGGGCAGTTGAGATGGGATGTGAGGAAGAATTTCTTTGCTGAAAGGGTTCTGAGGCATTGGAAGGGGTTGCCCAGGGCAGTGGTGGAGTCCCCATCCCTGGAGGGATTGAAGAGTGGTGTAGACACAGTGCTGAGGGACATGGGTTAGTCATAGGGGACTGGTCAGTGTTGGGTTCATGGTTGGACTCGGTGGTCTTCAAGGGCTTTTCCAATCCAGGCAGTTCTGGGATTCTCTGAAAGTGAGTACAGCAGCTACAAACTGAATTTTAAAACACCTTGTTTTATCTTTGGTTCCTGAGAAAGGCCCAAAGAAAAGTGGCGATTCAGCGCTGAGGTGGGCGTGCTCTGATCAGTGTCCTGGAGCTGCTGGAATGAGATGTCTGTGAGTCTCCTCCAGAAACCCCCAGCTTCAGATGCCATTGCAGGATTTCTGTGTCATTGGGCCCTCGGTGTTTGTCTGCAAAGCATCTTGGAGCAGAACCTCTGGTGGTATTAGTGTCTCTTGAGGTACTAGGCATCTGACAGCATGTGACATCACTGTTAACTTTAGCTTTTAAGTCATCTTGCCATGAGTTTTGGACTACATTTCTCAAAAAAAGAGCTTTTTGAACTGTTTTTTTTTCCTCTCTTTCCACAGGCTGATGAAGATCCTATCATGGGATTCCACCAGATGTTTCTATTAAAGAACATCAACGATGCCTGGGTTTGCACCAATGACATGTTCCGGCTAGCACTGCACAACTTTGGCTGAGCTGGCACCCCCGAGGCACCCCGCTTTTTTTTTTTTTCCCTTTTTTTTTTTTTTTTCTCCTTTTCTCTTACTGGTATTATTCACACTCACGGAACATTCCAAATATCATACACAAACCTGCAGCACTGCAGAGCGTGAGCAAGCAAGACCTGTGGCCTGCCCTTCTGCTGAGTTTACATGGTCACTAGATGAGTTTCTTGTGCATGATGTTTGGAAGTTAGACTTAGCTGCATTTGACAAGAGAAATTTGTGTTGTACCAGCATGCCTCGGAAAGAATTTCTAATGCAAAAGGTTGTTGTTTACGTACTGACAAGATGCTTTATAACCCAAAGAAGTGAAAGAACAGCAGCCTGTACAGCCCAGATATTGATTTGTTCAGATGTTTCAATGCTACATTACACAATAAAACCATGAGATTTTCTTAACAGTTTAAATTGTTTTAATGAGTTGGATGTGGACTTTGCTTGCTTTGGATCCTCTCTGCCTGCCTGCTGAGGAAACGTTTACAAACCTAAAACTCAAGCTGGAGAGCACCTGATGGTTTTACTGATGAAGGCTGTTTTAAGTCTGCCCTTGGCCATGCAACTTCTTTTTCCCTCCCTCGCAGCACCTTTTCTAGCTCAGTTTTTAACTTTAACAGGTTTATTTTACCAAGGGAAAAGCCTGAACTGATACACAAGGATGACAACAGTCGTGGCAGCCTGTAGTTAATCTTCATGCCATCTGTTATGTTCACCCTCAAAGGTAAACAGGACAGCTGCATTTTCTTCATAGGCAGACACACAGGATGTCAATCCAGTGCTGCCCTCCTGGAGTTTGTATCCAACTCTAAAGCCTTGTCATTAGATTTGTGCTGTGTGGTGTCATTCTGGCAATCCTTCGTCACGGTTTGGGCTGCATTTGCGCTGCAGGTTTTCACACTGTGCTTGCCTGTCATGTATCTCCCACCCTGGAGGTGGCAATGTTCCACCAGTGAAGGGATTTATTAAATTCATCTTTCCAGTCCGTGAGGTGGCACAGGAACAGAATCACATTCACTTTACCTTCAGACCTGACTAAGCCATTAGGCCCAGGTTTTCAGGGGCTGAGCTTGCTTTTGAAGGATATGAACTTGGTATTTCCCTTTTTGAGACTCATCAGGAAAGCCCGGGGTGTGCTCAAGCTGGTTGGGTCTCAAATCCAGCTGCTTCGGCCTGGGAAATAAAAGGAAGCTGCTGTTGGCACCCTCCTGTTCAGTGTCACAACTTCTCCTATATTCCGTTTCAAATGCAGGACTCTGTTGCTGCTTCTATGCTGTGAAAGTCACGCTCAAAATTAATCACTTGAAGAGATTAGAGACATTTTGTATGGTTGCTGCTAAGTGAGAATCCTGTTGTAGCTCCAGATCTAAATGAAGCCTGGCACAGGAGGGGGATCTAAGAATAGGTCTGGCTTATGAGCCTGGCTCTGCAGAGGGCTCTAGATGGCGAGGCTGGGGTGGTCCTCTGGATAATGAGCTCAGGAAGCCAAGAGAGAGTTTGTTTAAAGTCAGGGAATTATGTGTGGCAGGTGTTAGTTTAAAAAATATATAAAATCAGATTTTTAGGCCATTAGAAATTAAAAGTAGTTATGCCCCAAAACTGGCCCTGTAGATTCTCTGGGCTCTTCTTCACAGAATCCCAGACTGGTTTGGGTGGGAAGGGACCTTAAAGCTCATCCAGTCCCAACCCCCCTGCCAGCAGCAGGGACACCTTCCACTAGACCAGGTTGCTCAAAGCCTCATCCAACCTGGCCTTCAACACTTCCAGGGAGGAGCAGCCACAGCTTCTCTGGCCAACCTGGGACACTGTCTGACCACCCTCACACCAAAGAATTTCTTCCTCACATCTCATCTCCATCTCCCCTCTGCCACTTTCAAGCCATCACCCCTTGTTCTGTCACTCCCTGCCCTTGGCCAAGGCCCCTCCCGACCTTCCTGGAGCCCCTTCGGGTTACTCTTTCCTGCCGTTCTCCACACGGTCAGTCACTCCCGGTTCCTCGCCTGGAGAAGACAAACCCGAGTTTCTAAATCGCTGCTGGTTGCGATGTTTGAGCTCCGCGGGTCCCGTTCCAGCCCCGCTACCCGGGAACAGCTTTGCTGCCTCCAGGTTCTTGTACCGTGTTTAGTGCGTCAGGACGAGCCCCGCTTGTCCCCT